CCAGAGGGGGTGGAGCCCGGGAGCGGGACGGCCGATCCAGAAGCCCTCCCACTGCCCTAAGTATCCAGCCCCAGGGACCAGCATGCGTTCAGGGCTTGGGTTTTGGCTAAAACACGAGCAGACCCTGAGAACTGAAGAAATGGTGATGGGGGCCCATCCCTGAGCTCTGCGACCCCGCGGGATGGCACGGGGCGAGAGGGTGATGTGTTTGGGGTTTTTCCTGGGTCGGGGTCACTGCCTGCAGCCCGTGGGCTGCCCAGCTCACCTGCTGCCCTCCTGGAAGAGGGCGAACTCCAGGGCGGCACGCTCCAACACCGTCAGCGATGTCACTGTCACCGGCCCATTGGCCTTGTTGGGGAACAGGCCCTGCACACGCACCTCGTGCCAGTCTGAATGGAGCTTGCAGATATCCACGGAGTCAAAATACCTGTGGGGAAGCTGGGCTCAGCCCTGGCAGAGTCCTCTGCGGTTACACTGCTCTGCCCCCAGGGCCCAGCACGTTGCAGCTCACGCAGTCAGGAGCAGCAGGCACTGGCACCTCACCTGCTCCCCCCTGGGGATGTCCACTCCCGCCTGCCCCATCTTGACCCCCATGTCCCCTTTTCTGTCCCCTGCCTGGCTTCGCGCCCCACAGCCACTGCCTCCTGGGTGCTACCGTACTTAATGAAATCGCTGTACTCCATCCAGAAGACACCCTCGCTGCTGCCATGGGGCATCAGGTCATGGCGCAAGGGAGCCGGCCAGTGCGGCCACTCATCGGACCAGCTGCCGTTCCAGGAGAAGCGGCCCCAGGGGTTTCGGAGCCGCAGTAATCTGGGAGGAAGGGAAAAACGGTGTCAGAGGACCAGGAGGAAGGGGTGCATGAGGAAGATCACCTCTGAGATGCTCTCCCAGCTCTGCAGACCCACCCAGCACCCCGCAGAGGGCACCACGCCACTTCTGCCCCTGCCTTTCAAAGACCTCAAAGAAGCATCCTTCTTCCCGGTGAGGGTGGTGAGGCACTGGCACAGGTTGCCCAGAGAAGCTGTGGCTGCCCCATCCCTGGCAGTGGTCAAGGCCAGGCTGGATGGGGTTTTGACCAACCTGGTCTGGTGGAAGGTGTCCCTGCCCATGGCAGGCGGCTTGGAACCAGATGGTCTTTAAGGTCTCTTCCAACCAAACCATTCTGATTCTATGATTCTATGATGATCCTAGACCAAATTTGCGACCCCCACGGTGGCCGCAGATGCCCTCATCCTGCAGCTCCAGACCTGTTGCAGCTCCTTCTGCCCTTCCCTGCCCAAAGGGTCTCCAGCCAGGGGCTGTGGGGAAGGAGCTCAGCAGGGAAGAGGCTGACATGTGACATGGCTGAAAATGGGGCTCCACACAGCACCCAGGCTGTCGGAGGCAGCACCCGTTTCTATCCCCCCACCCTCCAAAGGTGAGAAGGATGCCCTGACTGCCTCATTGAGTTGAAAGAGCTCAACTCAATCCTCTGCATCTTGCGAGACCAGGTGAACCACTCTGCACCACAGGACATCCCAGAGCAGAGTGGCCCTGGATGTGGAGCCAGTGCCAGGCAAGGACAGCTTATATGACAACAGCACTTATGTGACACTCTGGGATGCAGAAACAGCCCTTGCTGGCCATGGGGGTGGGACACCAGAGAGTCCCTGAAGTCTTGTCCAGCATGCTCTCAATTATCTGTCCCCAGGGTTTCTGCTTGGGCTGTTGGCAGGAACGTCTGCAGTACCACACCAGCCTCCAGCCCAAACTCACCTGAAGCCTTGGACATCCCGCACGTCCAGGATGGAGTAGGCGTGCCGTGGACGGAGACCCATACTCTCATAGGCCACATCGTCAACTTTCATGTTGCCTCCGCCACAGGATGCACCCATGAGGAACCTGCATAGGGGACAGCAAAACCCTCGGTGTCCTGCCGGGCCTGGTATGGGGGGGAAGCTTGTCCCTACCGCTCGAGGTAAGGGATAGACTCCCCCTGAGGAGGCTCCTGGATATTCCCTCTCTGCAACAACACTGGAAACCTCCCCAGAGCAGTGTCCCAGCCAGAGCTCTGCCTGGGCAGCAGTGAGCCCGGGCTCTGTGGCAAGCTTCTCTGAGCAGTGCCCTCGCCTGCAGGGCTGAAAGCTCTGTCCATGCACAGCGGAGCTTTACCCAAACCTCACCCATTTTCTGCCAGGCCCTGGGGTCCTGCCTGTCTCTGATGGCTGGCAAGGCCCAACCACACAGGAAGGCAAGCGGTACGTCTGCCTCCTGCCCAGTCCCAGGCAGCTGGCCCATTCTGCAGGGGTGAGGACAGGCTGTTTGGGGTGGGAGGTCTGCACCAGCCAGGCTTGGGGGGACACCACGTCAGCCTCCCATTTTTTCGGGTTGGCAGGCGCGCCCCTGCCGTCAGCCAGCTCCTCCTGCCAGAGTGATGAGCAAGAGGTCTTTGCTTTTGCTTTGTCTCCTATAGAGTGCCTATAGTCAAGGCCAGCAAAGATGCCACGTATGGGTGGGAGACACATGCAGGGTCTCGTACTTAACAATACAAAAAAACTCAAAGCAAAGCAAGTGGGCTCAATGCCAGCCACTTCAAAACTCCTGCAAGACAGCAGTAAACATGCACAGGGAAGTTCACTAGGATTTTAATTTCATATGAAAATTAAACAAAGGAGAAATTATTTCTTAGAGCTTAGAGGGGGAGCTCCACCAATGCTCCAGATGAATGCCAAGGGTGGTGGACTCCACCCTGGGTAATGCACTAGCCCCTCTCCTCTGAGCCTCTACAAACAAGAGTGGTCCCCCTCGCCCCCCTCTCCAACTGTCCACGCTCCTGCCACGGCACCCTCCTGCCTCGTCTTACCCAGCCTCCTTAGAACTCAGCATTTTGGCCCAGATGAGGTCAGTGTCAATGGGCTCCTCGCGAGGGTTAGTGGAGCTGACCTGCAGCATCAGGCTCTCGCAGGGGGCACCCGTTAGTGTAGCCAGGCCTTCAATAGCACGCCCTGCCTGGAGGGCAAAGTACGAACCATGAAGCTTGGCCAGCGCCTTCTCAATGAGGGCGACCCACAACTGCTTCCTCTGGGCCTGCGGAAAGAGGGAGAAACACGTCACAAGCCGCTCCACGCAGGAGATAGGAAAGCAAAGGCAGCACGTGCAGACAAGGCAAAGCCCCTCTCACCCGCCCCTACCAGCCCTTCTGCTGCGATGGGAGACGGAGAGGTGGGAGCAGCAAGGCCAAGCCACCAGGAGCTTGTCCGCATGAGGCCAAGGGTGACTCCGTTCGCTACCTGCTCAGTGTTTCGTTTGCACAGTTTAATTCCCCTTGGGAAAACGTCCCGCAGCGAACGTCCAAGAGGCCTGCATGCTGACAGAGCTGCACCCTGGGGTGCCCACGCAGTCAGGCTGGCAGGGGTGGGTGTGCAGCTGGCAAGCTAACAGTCCCTTCCTTCTGCTTCAATCTGGGTTTAAAAAGGTTTCATAATGGAAGAGGATATCGAACACATCTGGAACAGCTGCATCGCACACTGTTGCAAACCAAAACCAACACACCTTTGGCGGAGGAGGCTGCCTAGAGCCCACACGGCTGTGGGACCGACTAGGTTTCACCCATGGAACAGAGATACTGTTTCAAAGGCAAGCTCCAAAAACTCCTAGGCAGCCGGGCAAAGTCCTCTACTCCAGCACAGGGCCAGTGGCAAGATGTAATTACAACATCCAAGTTTCGCAGGGGGGAAACTCCCCCTGGAGTTACTTTGCTCTCGTGCCAGGCTATTGCTCTTGCCATTGCTAGGCTGATTATGGATTCAGAAAGAAATGCAGAAGCTGCATTAATGCACTCGGGGGTTTGCAAAGCCTCCATCGGCCACGGCAATGCAGGCTCAGGGCGCAGCCTTTACCACTATGTCCAAGTCACCGTCGTAGGTCCTCAGCGTGCCCCAGGATGCCATCACTGGCCATGCTTTACCTCTCATCCTGGGCATGCTGGGGCTAGGGGGGAGACCTCCAGCCTCCGTCCCAGCCCTTGCCTGCAGCGAGGAGGCAAAGAGGAAGGTGTGTGGGGGCAGAAGGCAAGGACACATTTGCTGGTCTCTGCGTCCCCCGCAAATCGGGTTCGGTACCCCGAGCTTGGAGGGCAGCAGGGGCCAAGCCCTGGTAGGCTGTGACTGTGTGCGACTCACAGATGGCAGCCAAGAGCTGGCAGAGGAAAGGAGAGCAGCGAAGGTTTCCTCCCGGTGGGTAAAGCAAGCTTACAAGTGCTTTGCACTGGTTTTTGAGTTCCTCGCTCAACAAAACCCATGTTGTTTCTTTCTGCCTGAGCTGCAGCCAGGGAGCTCATACAAGAGCCTGATTTTTCGTTATTTTTAAAACTCTCTGGTTTTCCTTCTTTAGCCCCCACATCCAGCTCAGGCAGCTAAACACCTTCAATTGAAACCCTTCAATCTTAAAGAAAAAAAGGCAGACTTGAAATTTGTAAGAGGAAAGATGGATGGAAAAAAAAAAAAACCCAAGACAGGTAAATCTTATGCTGAAAATAAAGAAATGGATCTGGATCCTCTCTGTCTACCAAGAGGCAAAATGTAGACACAGATTCCTTCTTCCCCTCTCCAAAGCTTCTCCTTAACAGGACCAGCTTCCAGCAGCGCTGGCAATCATTTTGCCCCACTCAGTGCCCCTGGGGAGATCACCCAGGGCAGGCAGTGCCGTACCTGTGCCTGCACAGCACGAAGCCCCTGCCCAGACCCCTGCCCCTCTGCCCAGAGCCAGGGGTAAGCAGGGCTCAGGAGTGCCAGGGCTGCTGCCCCACGAGGCCCATTAGGTCAGATGCAATTAGCAGTTGCCCCAGTACTGGGCCACCTCCACGCTGCGGAGGGCACAGGCTACGGAGCACAGTCAAGCTTTTACCAACATTAAGGTCCCCCAAAAACTTATCTTCAGGCCCCATTTCGCCAGCCAGAGTCCTCTCCTGACATCTACACATGATGCGGTTTGTGGCTGTCTGTGTTTTAAAACAGAGGATTGGGATTTGCAGAACAAAGTCCAACCCAACAGTCCTGGGTCCCTGTCTCCTCCCGATAGTGGCACTTTGTTTTGTTTGGCAGATTTTGCCACCTGAGTTTCAATGAAGACGTTCTCAGTCTCCTTCATGGACATGATCCCAGCAAGTGCCCCTGGGCCTGGCAGGCAGGGCAGGGCAGGGCATAACACGCGGTGACGTCCTGAAGCGGCTGAGAGCTTCGTTAATGCTGGCAGATGCCACCTGAGCGTGCTCAGAGCAACCGGGCACCGGCTCGAAGCAGGCTGATTTGTTGTGCAATCCCCTCCCTCTCCACGGTCCTTCCCTGGCAAAGCCAAGCTGCCAGACCTCCCCGCAGAGGAAAGAAACAGCTTTCCCTCAGCCCCCCGCAGTGCAAAATGCACAGGTTATAATATTTCCCATTTGCTGTGAAGAATAAGGTTGGCTTCCCCTGTCAGTGAAGTGGCTGTGCTACAGGGAGGAGGGAAAAGCAACTGCAAATGAAACTCCTCTGTCGCAGCCTGGAAAACACCAAAAGGGGCCTAAATAGATTTATATTATGGCCTCAAAGAGTTCAGCTGTCTTGAGGGTGCAGGAAAAAGCAGGGTCCTGAGCTGCAAACACCCCATGCAGCACAGAGTAGGGGTCTCACATGAACCACAGCAGTACCTCTTCCCATTGTCTCCATCAGTCCTCTCCTAGGAGAGCCAGGGATGAGCCTCCCCCTGCCCCTAGAGCACTGCCCACCACCTCCTGTCACCCCTCTCCCCCTGAGGGCCGCTGACCTGTGAGAAGAGGAGGTATCCGCACTCATCGCATGGCAGCATGTCATCCACCAGCACTGTGGTCCACGTGCCGTCCTTGCACAGCCGCACCTGGTAGGCACCCTCGGGACACAGCGTCCTGGTGATCATCACCCTCTCCACCAGCCCCGGCCGCTCAGCCAGCACGGCCAGGGCACTCAGGAACCTGCCGGCAGGACGGGACACGCGACGGTCTCAGAAGGGCATGGGCAAGGCAGCTGCCCAGCCACGCAGCACAGGGGACTGTGGTTCGCAGCCGCTTGGTAAGGGGTGAGGCAGAGGATGGGGTACGTGCCTGGGGGTTATAAACGGGTTTGAGTAGGGCTGAGGGGTCTGATCTGGAGCTGGATGAGGCAGGGGGAAAGGAAGAAGAGGCAGGAGGGTGTCAGCCCGGCTCACTCCCCCTTACCAGCAGTTCCCCAGCAGTCCCTGCAGGATATCCGAGGGCCTGGGTGTCCGAAACACCGACCACTTCACCGATCGGTCCTTGAAGATGCTACAGTTGATTTCGTGGGGTCGCAGCCACTGTTTCACCCTCTGCTGCACGCTGTCGCCTTCTGGGAATCCCACGGACTTAGGCCCAGGGTGGAAACTGTCATCTACAAAATTGACTTTGTTCTGCGAGGGTGAAAGGCAAGGAGAGCATCAGTGTGCAGCCATGTGGCGCACAGCTCCCCAGGGCCTCCTGGGACAGGGCTGGCCTGGAAAGCCTCCCACTGCTCCCCAGGAGAGAGAGCAGAGCCCCCAGCCCTCCTGCCCGGCCCCGGCAGCCCCTTCCGACACCATGCAGAGGGGCAAGTCTGCAGCCGGGTGTCTGCTGGCAATGGCACGGATGCATTTTGTGCATCAGGTCCAGTGTTCAGCCCTGCCACAAGCCGGCTCACCTCTCTGGATCTCAAGCTCCAGACCGCGACTCAAATCTGCCTTTTTCTGTTTCGCAGGAACCTCCCTGGGCAGGGACCGTCCCATGCTTTGTCCTGGTGCTAAAAGTTGGACCGTGGGGGACCTTGGCTGCCTTCCTAAGTGGCAAAGCAGGCGAACGGCAAGCCTGCGAGGAGTCACATGGCAAGCAAACGCTCCTCAACCTGAGCCCTCTGCTAAGGGCTGAGTTGCCCAAGCTCCAGAGGGGACATGCTGGGCTTGGCAGGCACATCCACGGAGGATGTTAGGGGCAGCTTTCGCAATTGGATTCAGCCAGACCACAAAGAGGCAAGCAATTCTGGAGTGAGGGTATCCCATCTCCGAGCCCACCTGCAATAGCTGCTGTGTATTAAATACAATAGGATGGACTGAAGGGCAGGTAATGCCGTAGGGATTAGCCACAGAGGCAGGATGGAAGCACAGAACTTCAAGTGAAGAAGGGCGGCTTTTTCAGACAGTTTAACACAGGGTGAAATAAGAACCGGGATTTCTTTGTGACTGTTAATTAAATGAAATTAAATTCTTTCAGCAACAGCCGGCTCTGATTTAAATGAGCATTGATGCACACCAAACTAGTAGTTGTCCTTCCTCTTTCGTTGCAATCCTACGTGAACGCTTTCTACACGGTGCCTCAATTAGCACTTCCAGCTTCTCTTTTGCACAAGGGTGTTTTTCAGCTAATAGATGTCACCGTTCAAATACTGACGCAGGCCAAAAAGGACATGTCCCAGGGTTTGCTGGCTTTCTCAAGGGGAGCATCTGCTCCGTGCAGCTGACAAGCAACTGCCTCTGCTGTATCAGCCAGCAACCTTACCTCGCCACATCCCAGCCTTGCACACTCACCCCTCAGAGTGCAGCCAGGGCTCCCGAGGAACCCGCTGTGCAGGGCCCTGCGGACACAGAGCAAGGCGGCAGCAGTCCTTGGGTCACGGCCTGTGGGCATCACAAGCTTTCTGTCTCCTGTGGAGTCACCACGGTGCTTTTCCAACCACAGAGGTGGAAGAAGCCCTTCAGCCTCCTTGATGTCGTGGCCAGGGTCTCACCAGGGCTGGAACAGCACTTGGGAGGACTGCGGGAGCCTGGACATGAGCCCACGGACCTCACCAGCACGACGATGGAGGCAATGTGACAGCCATAGCAGTGCAGTTCCCTAGCAGCATTAGGAAAGCCTGCCTAACAAGCTAATTACCTTTATACCATGCTGTCTCCCTGCGCATGTTTCTAAACGCTTTAGAGAAGTTGTCACTACCAATATCCCTGTGAGACGGATGGAAAGAGAGGCACGAGAGCTGCAGGGCAGCATCGGAGCAGAGCGGAGAGGAGCAGGTAACTCCTCTCGTGTCTGGGCAGCAATGAGCCTGCTCACAGATGGTGTCAGATGAGGAGCCCTCCTTATTTCTCCTGCAAGATGATAAATCCAAGCATCAGACCTCCTTCGCTCTTCCTGCTCTGCCAACAAGCCCCTTCACGCCGTTCTGGACCACAGACGTGACCTTCTCCGCTGCCACCTCCCCGGTACCGCATGGGCCAAGGAAGGCTGCTGCCTTGCCCCGCATGGCCTCGCTGCCAGGAGTGAACTGTCTGATGGGTGGAGAGGAAGGGAAATAGAGATGGGGTCTCCCCCAGCACATGGAAAAGGTTCTGCAGGGAGAGGTGCCAGGGCATGGCACAGACAGCAAGAGTCCTGGGTTGTCCTTCTAGTTCTGCAGAACGTGCTGATGAGTGTTGTTATTCGGAAAGGGGGAAGGGTGGTTAATCAGAGACAGTGGGATAAGCAAGAGAGGGGACAGAGCAAGACAGGGAAGCAGAAACCCGGTGCAGAGGTAGGTATTGGAAAAGGTCAGCTCTGCTCTCCTCCCAGACAGAAGAGCAAGGGTAAGCTAAAATCTGAGGCCATGCACAGACAAGTGTTGGAAAAGGCACCCCTGGAATAGCGGAGGAGGGAGCACCCACAGCAGGAGCTGGAGCAGAAATCCCCGGCGGGAACAGCGCAGCGAGGCCGGCTGCTCCCTGCGACTTGGGGCAGGGGCACAGCAGGCGGAGGGGAACTTGGCCAGCCTGAGGCACTCCTCGGGGGGAAGGCTGAACAGCCTGTGAAACACCGCGGACAGAAGGAAGCTTGCAGGCTGCCTTACATGCCAGTCTGAACAGGAGCGTTGGTGGGAGGCTGCGGGCACACCAAGAGCAGAGCGTGCACGAGTATGGGAGCAGCACTGTCCCGCCACCGCTGCCAGGCCTTCCCTCGAACCTGCGTTGCTCCTGACCTACCATAAACAGTGTCAGAACAGAGCAGTGATTTAGTTTCAGGGGGGTTTTCAGGAGATGGCCCTCGCTGATTTAATAGCCCGTTACTGCCAGCTTAGCGAGCTGAACAGGCTCAGCCAAGGCTCCGACCGAGAGCTGTGCTGGATGGGGCAAGGCAGACTTCCCTTCTTGGCAGCGGCAAGCTGCTAATTCAACTTGGCTGTTCTCTCATAATTCATCCTTCAGGCCTGATTCCACTGGATGTAACAGATGTTCCCTGCCTACAAAAGAGGCTATTCACTTGCTTAAAAGAGGGGGATACGCAGAATCAGGGTCTCTCTGCTATAAAGACATCCATGTCTGTTAGGATGGACACGTAGCAATTAAAAAAACCCACAACGCCAAAACAGGATCATTCTCAACAGCTTTCCTCCAGAGCCAAATATCTCTGTGGTCCCCAGTCTGCGCAGCGGAGGCACAGACATGGACACACTCCTCAGACCAGGCAGAAAAAGCCTTGTCTGTACGTCAAAATGGGACCACAACTCCCTTTCCATCTGGTCCAGAAGGGCTGGAGGCTTCCCCCAGAAAGAGGGCGGAGAGAGAGCAGCATTCACGGGAATGTCTTATGCCACTCAAGTTAAAAAATGGAGCCATCAGAGCAGTGTTTGAGACTGAAACCCAACAGATCAAACCAGATACTTGACAGTGGGAGAGGAGGGCCCTAGCAGGCGCTTCCCGAGACCCTCGCCTAGAGTCAGGGTACAGCTAAACCTCAGCTGTCCTTCCCACAACAGGGGCGAGCCATTTGCAGCTGCAGCTGTGCATTCACAAACACCAAAACCAAGGCTGCCACGGCCCAGTTCACAGTTCTTGAACACCTCCCAGCCTTCTCCACCCTCGGACAGAGAAGAAGCGGTACCAACTCCCTAAGAATGTCCCCTTCAACCCAGATGTTCTCTCTCACTGATGTAAAATATCACTAGGTTTCAGAGTTAACACTCAGACTTCCTGACCCTTGGACCAGGAGCGAACTGTAAGGGTTGCCTTCACCCCAGAGCTTATCTTGCACCTATTTAAAATATTAGATTTCAGTGTTAACAACCAGCATCCAGCTGCTGCAGGTGAAGATCTCTGGGACCCAAGACCCAGAAGGCTGCTTGCCTGTGCCAAGCGATGCCCTAGACCCAGGGGGGAGGCAGGAAGGGGGCCCCCTCCAAGGGAAGCCAGGGGCAAGACTAATTCAGCAAACACTCACCTCCCGGCAGAAGGTCACGATGTTTTCCCACAGGGCTTTGGCCTCTCCCTCGTCTGTCTGCCGCCTCTTCTCCACGTGCATGCTCTCCCGTCTCTTCAGGGGTTTGAGGCCCTTGCGCTGGGCCATGTACTGCTGCGGGGTATGGCAGGCCACGCAGTGCTTGGCCTTCAGCTCGTTGAGCAAGGTGCAAGCGGGACAAGCCCACTGGCCTGGCCTCTCCTGGCCAAGGGGAAGGGGCGGGCAACCTTGCGGGCGGATGGGGCCCTGCCACCACAGGAGGAGCAGCCGCCCTTGTCACAAGCCCCGCAGTCGGGGCAGCGGGGGGACAGCTCGCCCTGTGTCCCATGCTCCTGGAAGCCATGCAGCTTCGAGGAGCCGCAGGCTTTGCACTTCTGGGCCAGGGTGGGGTTCTTGAGGGTGCACTTGGAACAGGACCAGGTGGTGAAGTCAGGGCTAGAGGGGCTGCAAGGGGTAAATCTCACCGAGTCCCCCACCAGATTGATGGTGTCGCTGCCTTTCTGGGTATTGCAAGCCTCGCATTTGCCAACCCCGGCGGAGTTAAGCAGGGAACAGGAGCTGCACTTCCAGTGGGACGGACTG